AATAAAGAGGAAACGAGGGAAGAGAAGAAAGATGGAGTGGAGGGGGCAATCTGGCGCGGTGGCTGGGACCGTGGGCTGGGTAGGCGGGNNGGGCCTGGCTGGGCGATGAGGGGCGGGGGCGGTGGTTGCGGCCGCGGTGCAGTGTCAACGTCCCCGTGGGCTCGAGACGCTGCGAAAACAAAGGCGCAGAAAGTCATCAGGCAGCGACGGTCGCTTGGCCTTGGGGTGATACCTGCATACGCTGTGCGCTCGCTCGTTCCCCGGCCCCCCACTCGCACAGGGCACTGGCGGCGACGAACACTTTCCTTGCAGCTAGTATAAAGATGATGTTGCTTTAGGGACGTTCCAGCCGAGCACCTACTGTTGAACATGCTTTCAAATAAAGCGCGTCTTGTCTCATGCTGACTACAATGAGATTGATCTGTGACATTGATCTGTCGCAGGATGAGTTTCTTTAAATTAAAGGTTCTCGGCAATGTAATATAAAACAGTAATTATCATCAGCAATCCTAAAAACGAGATAAAAAGTTTCTTCAAACGATACCTTAACTGCTGAGAATAGAATCACGTAGGAATAATTGAGTTGTATCTCCAGGCCTAATCGGCTCCTTATCTCTTTAATAAGTGAACGTGTAAGGCAGGAAGGGATATCCAGAGCCCATTAATGTATTTTTTACATACTCTTTACTACGTAGTTTGGCTACTTAGTAAAGAGAAAGTATTTTAATACTGCAGAGGGAAGGGGCGATTTTTCAACGAACATATCTTTGGGTTCCTGATATCGGAAAAGTGGATAAATATTTCTCATATTTGTACTTCTTCTAATACATTGTATGGTATAATTCAGTTAATGTATTTTCGATAACAAAGACCTACAAAACGTGGGAAATTGAGAGAAAATTGGTTTAGGGAAATGTCGGTCTGTTCATCTGACGATGAATGAAGGTATTGAAGGGTAATGAATCCTAATGAAGGGTAAAAATAATGTGGAACATCGTTATATGAAATTTCTGTATAAGCAAATTGTAACATTTATTCTAAGACTTCTCTATGAATAATCGTTTTTTCATTATTTCGTACTTTTTGATTCATTACTTCATAATTAATTTAGACGCTAATTATTCGGTAGATAGAGAACCCAATGCTTGATTTGCAAAGTGACTAGAAGATATTTAGCAAAAGTAGCTTTTTCGATAAAACTTTGCTCCTTATTTAATCCACTTTCCCTTCAACTTTGGTAAACACTTGCAAAGTTAAATTAATTACTACAAAAATATGATTATCTCTGTTCTATTATTTAAATGAATTAATAGTAGTAAATTGGCAACAAAATATAATACCGACAACATACTGGTTAACTATAAAGTCGGACTTGCATCGTAATCTCCATCGTAAGAACAGAAAGTTATGTACGTAATCGTGCGCCGGAAACCGGCGAATTTTTGGCAGAAAATAACTTATTTCCAGCCCTAATAAAGAAAAAATGGATAAATCCTATTGCTGTGTATAGTAAAGTACTCTTTGTAGCCCGTAGTGTAGCCATAATCCATATTCTGTGGGGCCTTGTTCGTTGAAATCTCAGATTTTTTATAATTGCTAAAGTGCAATTCCTACAACTATAATATTGCAGATAGGGATTTTTGCTTTCCCATATACACACGTATAAACGAAATAATATTCTCTGAAAATAATATTTCCGTTCTTCTATTAGGAAAGCGAAAAATTAAGAAAATTACAAAAAAGAAAAATACTTTGGGTGGCGATAGACGGCAATTGGCAAGAGTATGTGGCAAGTCCGAATAGGTAGCCGAGATCAAAGGAAACAGAAAATTAATACGGGAAAGTCTGTGCCATTTGTAGTATCACTAGTTTCCTTTATGAAATATGTTCTTTGTAGACAGATCTTGAAATACGGTCACGGACAATTTTTCGAAAATATGAGTAATTTTGGCGTAATTTTGTGTGAAATATAGACAATTCTGCAATTTTTACATTTTTTTAAAATGTTCTCCTCATGTATATCAAGGGCTGGTATGAAATATGGTGCTAGTCCAATTTTTGAAGAACTCTCCGTATTCACGAAAATTGAAGATTGATATTTTGGCCTTAGATGGCCCAAAAAATCAACTCTTTAAAAAACGACATATACACTGTAATAAAAAACGAGTAATTTTCGCGTAATTTGGGCTTGAAATTAATGAAATGTCGGCGCCCTCCGCAGAAACAGCAACCTCCGGAAAAGTTGGAGTGTAAATCGACTCGTATAATTAGTGCGTACTGTCTGAGCAATTATTGAGAACTAATTTATTTTTATGTATATAAGGGAAATATTAATGTTTTCGGGACGTGTCGCATCGTGGAGTATCGGGAGTCCGTAGCGGATGCCTGCGAGGCAATGGAGGCAGCGGCGGTGATGGTGTAACGGTTAGCGTACTGGACTGTTGTGCCCAAGTTGGCGGGTTCAAACCCGATCGAAGCCGTGGATTTTTAAGGGCGAAAAAATCCTTCGTACGCCTTCCTTCGGAGGAGAAGTAAAGCCGGCTGTCCCATGTTCGTAGATTTACTTGCATGTAAAAGATCCTCAAGCCTAAATGACGCCTCTGAGCTAAATTCAAATCGCCTGTTTCTCGCCCAAGAAATACCGCCTTTCTCTCCTAGTTGGTGAAAGGAGCGTAGCGAAATTTGCGTGGTCAGACGGAAGAGCGGGCCTGATGGCCCGAGTCTCGCCACGTAAAATAAGGGAAATTCAATTCAATTCAATAGAAGGTTGAGGATAATGGGGAGCTAAAAGTTCGGTGGGGGGAGCGCGGCTGTTAAGGCTTTGTTCGACTGAGTCCGCGCCTATGAACTAAGCTAAGAATACAAACCCTTTCTTCTTATTTAATAATTTTTTTTTGTTATTTAAGGTCGCATCAACGTCTAGGACCTTAGCGACCACTATTGCTTGTAACGGTATGCAAACGGTAAGGATGACACGATAGGATGATGATGATAGGGGGTGAAAGGGCGAACACAATACAACCATGCCCGAGGCCGGGCTCAAACCCGCGATCCTTCGGACGGAGATCGCTACGGCACTACTGCCTTAGCGATTTCGGCCACCGGATCGGCAAATTATTGTTTTGTTTGTTGGAAATATCTTTAAAAAACTCTTACTTTCGTACGAGCACAATTGTATTTCTCGTTATCAATGAAAAAGTTGTCTTTGACTAGAATTAAAATTTCGAAGCGTGCGAATCAGGGGAACACACTAACACTATTGTTTTCTTGGTTCAAGAAATATTTTGAAGAAGTAAAATGTGTAAATGTTTGGACGTTCACGCAGCCCCTCCTTTTTATTTACTTTATTTTATTTTATTTAATTGTTTGTTGAAGTACAATGATTAATTTACAACAAAAACTTTGCAATTGTTTGATGACTTAATTAATTAACTTAATCTAGGTCTATATAAACTGTACTTAATTAATCATAGTATAGGGAGAGAAAACAACAGCACCTCAGGAGAAGTATTCAACATTTGAAAATATCTGGAGGAAAGAATGGAGCGGGAATCAGTTCTTAATTCTGGTTTTGTATCTGGGATCTTTTCCGAGCCTGTAATGAGTTGAAGCCTTTATGAAGGATACGTTTGTGTAAATGTTGTTTGATAAGAATGCTATTTGGTGTGGTATTTCATTTATTTTTAGATCCTTATGAAGTTGTTTATTACTAATGAACCATGTTTATTACTAATTGTGTTCTTGTTATTGATCTTAAATATTTGTTTTGAAACAACGCAGCCCCTCCTACCCGCAACCCACCGGCTGCCCCTTCGGTCCACATCTTTGATGAAGGTTGCTTTTTCTGCAATAGTAAGGGATTTTCGTTCTAACATTTCAGACGCACTTTTCAAGGACGTAACAGCAAACTGAAACTGAGATGAACTCGTAGGGCAGGGCCATTAGAGGAAGGGGTACGCGATTGACCTTCAGGCACTACCACGATTGACAATTTCACTTGGAGAGAGAAAGAGTTACCTTCAAAAAATGAAGAAGCAGAGAAGATGAAGAAGGAGAGATGCAGAAGAAGCTGAGAAGAAGAATAAGAAGCCGAGAAGATGAAGCAAAGAATAAGCAGAGAAGAGGAAAGAGGAGGAAGTAATTGATTATTGATATTTATGTTTCTTCATTGATGAATAAAGTAAAACTTTGTATTCACTGTACTGTCTACCAAACTGTTGCTGCGCAATCTTTACAATAGATATTGTAATAAGCAATTTTACCCTCTCGAATGCTGAAGGAAACTGCATCAGGACGAATAAGAATAAATATTATGAAATTCTGAGGGAGACAGAGGGGCAGAATGTTCATTTTTGCCAATGAACATGTAGTGGGAAATATCAAATGACAGACTTACACGCGTGACATTTTTCTTGATTTTTATTCAATTCCCTACGTACTGATATTCGGTAAGTCACTTTCAGTCAATCAAGGAGATTTCTTGTACCTTCTTGAACGTCTGTGCGTTCGCAGTCGCCTAGAAGTCAATGGTGTACTACATACATACTACATGCAGGGTGACTCAGAATAAATAAAACAAACTTCTAGGGCATGTAGTTAGCGGCGTTCGTTCTCACTCGCCATGGAGATAAGAACGACACGTTACATAACATCTACTCACGTTTTCAAGGACAATAATGTTGAGTTCGTATAATCGGCTTGTCATACAGAAGATTGTTGGAAAAAGAATTGACGAAAAAAAATCCTGCGAGGAATTCTCATTCATGTACAATTGTAGAGATCATTTACAAGTAATTTAATGAAAACAGAAAAAAGAAAAGTGCTAATGTTACGTGAGACTTTTGAGCAAGGCGAAGAAAATGCACGGCAGCTACCACTCGTTCACTCTTCTAAGCACTTTGATCTGCCGCGGTTTTTCATTAGCAGTCTTTTTCATCGTTCCCTTCGGGCGTTTTTCATCAGCAAATTGCGTGTCCATAATCTCGTTAACTTAATCCCAGTGCAAGGGGATCGTCTCCTGCCGCCGTGGCTCCGGAACCGGATTCACGTGCGGAGCGGAGCGGGGCAGGACATGGCAAGGGGCGAAGCATGGCAGCGCGGCTCGTGGCGGGGAGGAGAGGGACAGAGAGTAGTACAAAGCGTGGCTGGGGGAGGGGAAAGGTGGAAAGGGGAGGGGTGTGGGGCGAGGCGTCGGTCGCCCAATCTGTCCGCTGCGCCCCGTTCGCCCGCACTTGCGACCGACAGGCCGACGAGCGCGCGGCGCGCCTCGCCCGTCGCGCGCCGGCCCGTCCGCCCGCCGCCCCGCCTGCCCCGCCGCCATGCCCCACCCCCCCGCACCGCTCTCGTCTGCTCCTCCCCGCCCCCCCGCTTCTCAACGCACTCTCCACCGCCACGTCCCTCGTCCGCTCGCTCCCGCCGCCTTGTGCTCCGTCCCCCCGCCGCTCGACCCTCTCCGCCGCCTCCCACCCCCGCCCGGCCCCCCTCGCACCGTCGCCGACTGCTCCTCCCCGCCCGCCGCCTCGCCGTCCCGCCTTTCCCGCCCGCCTCCACGCTGCACCACCCGCTTCCCCGCCCGACAGCCTCTCCACTGACCCGCTGATCCTCCCCGCCTCCCGCCCCGCCCCGCCCGCGCCCGCCCCGCCTCCCCCCGCCCCGCGCTCGTCCACTCCTCCCCGCCCGCCCCGCCGCTCCGGCGCCCCGCCCGGCCCGAGCCAGCTCGTGTTTGCGGGTTCAAGGTATATCAGCGGGGTGGGTATTGCTCGTGCATTCGTTTTCTCGCCTCCACCTCCACCAACGTTGCTTGATTTCATCTCGCACAACTGAAGCAATCCTGACTCGGCGACAAGATTCCTCCACTGCAGGCGACGCTGCTTCTTCGACAGCGCGGCTGTGGCCTACTTATCTCTCTATACCCAGCCCAACTAACATTAGCACCTCTCGCAAAACCCAAGACGTCCCACAACTACCTCTCAACTCTCCTTATATAATTTTTGGTGTGGCCGTGAACTAAACAGGAAATCTAATCGAATGCTTTCCAAAGCCATGACCTCTAATCTCAAATTTATCGAGTCATTAAATATTAATGAGATAAAGATAGCCAACTGTATATACATATAAAAAATAAATTGTGAAGGAATGAATTATTTGGAATTAACGAATATTTCTTGCAATATTCATCAACTATCTTAATTCTAAAAGAAAACAAAAATACTAGGGAAAAGTTGATACAGTAAGTATTACTTAAGTAATTAAATTTGATTAAATGTGAAACATCTGAAATTTAACAATTACAAAAAAATGTTAATTGACAAAAAATACTAAAACGTTTTCCGGATTTCAAGGATTACCACAAATTACTAATTTTTTTCGATAATCTGTGGGTCATCTGTCATTCAAACCCGAATACATTTTTTAGCGAGACATGACAATCGCATCTCGCGCAAACCATCGTCGCAGGAAAACAATTTGTGTGGACGTGAGAACGAAGCAAACGTGAAGTTTGAGTTTGAAGACAATGATTCCACAAACTATTTCCTCTCGCTCCTCATCCCACTTATCGATTGAACCAAGCCTCTCTGCATTCGCAGAGGAAACCCAACCGAGTTGGTGTTGTTCATCCTCACAAGGCTTTGCCCCCTCTCGGCCGCGTCGAGCCTCGCAAGCGCGGTCAAGCCAGGCGAGCGAAGCGTTGTTGTCAGGGCACCGCGCGCCGCCGCCGCTGGAGCGCAAGGTGCCCGGGCCGACCAGCGCCCACAAACCGGTTCGCGGTTCGGTGGGAGTCCCGCCGCGCCGCGCGGGGAGGGAGAGGGAGGGGCGCGGGCAGGAGACGGGTAAGGAGCCAGGCTTAAATAATCTAGTTAAGTTTTTCCCTTGGCCTATAACAACTGCACAGTAATATGTATTTGGCAATTGAAACACCGTGAACTAGATGGACCAGGTCAAGATGTTTTATGTTAAATCGTTTTGCACGAGTGTCGGAGTTGTCGTCATCAACGTGGAACTGCATACCACTGCGTCTAAGAGTGTTAGGTTGAATATTACAACGGATCGACTCCCACTTTACCAATCACCAAACATCACCGCCCCCCCCCAACAAAAACTGTTAAAAATTGGAGTTCTGTTTGATAAATGCGTGCAAAAACAAAACACCAATACAGTAGCGAATAAATTCATCTAGTTACATCCTAATCACAAAAAGTTATACGACTCATATTTTCATGCTTCCCTGTTTGGGTTGTCGCTGCCAAAACCAAACATCTTCAAATGTCAATTTTTGAAATAGATTCCTATGCGCCCAATCTCAAATTCTCAGGTACATTCGAATGCGCATTACATAATGACTTGCATTGCCAACCAACCTCCATTTCCCCCTGATTATCCGTAAATTATATTCCCAAATATTAAAATCCCTTCATATTGACTTTCTATAATAAGCAAATCCTCACCGTAAAAGGTTTAAAAAAAATTACCAAGAGATGTATTTGATTCCCACCATAGACATAAACCGAAGGTCTTTTTCCATTATAAATACTAATTAAACCATTTATTCTATCATATCTTAAAAACTCATTTCTGTTTGTAATGTTCAAATAATTGTATAATCATATTATGTATTTAATCTATGAAGCTGCAAAGTTCCATGACGAAGACTAGAATAAATTTAAAAAATAATCTATTCCGTTTGCAAATTTTATCGTCGCATGTTGTGAATCGATTCTTAACGTTAGGTAGGATGAAAAGATTCTTTTCACGCGTGCGTAATTTTGCGGGCTTGTGTTTGCTTCGGCACTGCCCAAGAGGCCCACGCCCGGGTGCCCGCGCGCCGCGCGCACAAAGGCAATTTGCTTGTGTGCTTTTGAGAGGGCTCCAACACGTTACTCTTTACGGCCGTGGCTTCCATTTAACAGCGGCTGTAACTCGAAATTGCATCTCCCCTCTTATCCTTCCTCATGATGAATGTTTTGTGAGTATCGGCTAGAAGCGTTGTTTATAATAGAACTAGGATCGATGTTTAGAGTAGACATTTTGTTATGTTTATCATGTTTTTTCAAAAAGTGTTGCCGTTGCTGTATATCGCTATATTAACTTTCCAATTATCTTCGTCGCGCACACAAATTTAGAGGAGTTTCTTTTATTCGTATATCGAAATCATATAAGGTAAAAATTATCATTTTTAATATAGTGGTATATGTTATGAGTTTGGAAGGTCTCTCCTTTGATATATATGTGCTTAGTAAACTTTAATGAGGGGTATCAAATCAAAAGTAAAAAATAGAGAGTACTTTAACTTCGAAATAATGGTACCTAATCTCAGTACATGAATACTATTGTTACAACCAATAATACTTCTAAGTTTACAAATCGAAATTAATTCCAATAATTATTACAGAGCGAGAGAAGATAACCGTGTTTTCACATTTTAGAAATATTACGTATCTTTAAATTCAAAAATGATTGTATTCAAATCATTAAATGTATAGGAGAAAAATTATTTTTCTAGAAACAATGTCAGTCGAAGTTAAGCTGATATGAACCAGATTGAGATACATGCACTTGCACTGTCCTTCACTTAGTAAATACATCTTAATTTTACATCTCTCAGATATGCGTGCTTAACAAACACTTTTTCGCTTAGCGTTTTACTAATGAAGTGACACTTCCGCGGAAAGTATTATTTTTATTTACGTGTGTGATTCACAATAATGAAATATTAACAAACAAGTGCCTGATTCGTCCATCCTTCCGCAAAGAAATTTACTTGAAAAAAGTAGTAATAAAATACTTGCAACTAATTGCTTCTGTACAAAATTAATTTAATTATCTTTTATAAATCAAGATAAAGAAAAATGTTATGAGAAACATACTGCGGCTTACATAAATGCTACAAACCCTATGTCACGTTCTGACGTAGAAATTTCGTTGTAGGTGTAGATGATGAACTCAAAAATCAATGTCAAACCGGAATTCTAATAAAAAATTCTCGACTACTTAATTCTTCTCAAGTGGTCAGTTTTCTACCATCTGTATATCCCTAGACGATTATTCTGAGTCGGTAATTCTGTAGCAATTCACACTGTTTTATCTCCAGTACGCTGCTTCAATATGTTTCTTTCTGACGTTGAAAGTATTTATAGAAGAAAACGTCAAAAACTATTGCTTTGAGTTGATTAGCTGTGCACCTCTATAGACCTTATAATTGCAAAACACATTTTAGTCAGTTCCACTCATCCTCAAGAAATGTTTTTAAAAATTGAATTATCTTAGAATTTTCTGGGATCTGAAATGAACATGTTCGTTTCCTCACAATAGATTGAGACGCGTCGGAATGGTATCTCGCTTTCCTGATTTGGGGACCACAAGACATTTAAAACGCGAGTGACGGACAAACGCGTCTATTCGATACCTGTCAGCTGTAGAGCTATTGAAATGAACGGCTGACTGCATTTTTTCTTATTAGGTTGATTTCTTACCATTGTTATCCAGCGCGGGTTACATATGTTATCTACAATTTTTTGTGTGACTTGTCTTTCAAAATTTATTAGCCGAATCCAGAACATTTTTAAAAATAGTGAATATTAATAACATACAAAATGAAACAATTACATCAGCTCTATGTTTGAGAACGTTTGCAATCCCCGATATCTTTTGCATGCGCCCTAATGCACGCGGCAAAGGGTTCGAAAAGACTCAATGGCGAGTTCTCTTCTCGGAACGTCCCCACGGCAACCTACCCGCCGCCCCGCCCCCGCCCCCCGCCACCGCCCCGCCCCCAGAGATGGCACCATGCGCCACTAACGCCTGCCGCTTATGCCTTACCGCCCCCCCCGCCTGGCCGCGCCGCTTCCCCTTATAACCTCCCTGCGCCCTCCACTACCGACAGCCACACCCATAGGCCTTATGGCCCCAAATGGCCCAAGAGTCTCCCAATAGCGTTTTGAAGCCGCCAGGAAGAATTACTAATATTTCGGGGCCAAACACGTGTAAGACGTCAGTACTCTCCCTACTGAAGGGAAGTACTGGAATTCCAAGGCTTTCAAGTTCTACTGAGACGAGAAAAGAGTGTAGAGCATTGAATAAATGATTTATCTGTATTTATAACTTCTACGAAGAACTTACATAAAGGTAAACGTGCGATTTAAAATAATGCGAGTAGAATATTCCCTAACTGCATCTGTTTTCTATTATTACGAAGATTGGAATGAGAGTATGAGGGTAAATCATGCCTATACACTTCGCTCGAGACCTCGCACTGAGGATGCCCACCGGGTCGTGGGCAAACGTTTGCAGTTCCAAAGTCATGGATCACGCCCATCAGCCCCGAAACATGAATAATATTTTTTTATGGTCCACGAAGACGAATGAACAATCATAATCAACTTTTAGGGCCGAGAAGAGTTTGTACCATGCGGCTTCCACTAGATAGCAAACAATCTCTATTTTCCATAACAACTTCGTATAAACATACTGCTTGAAGCTTTGATAGTTACTACAGATAACGTTTCTATGGAGATGGAATGATTGAGGTATAAAATCAACATTACACTTTTTCTGATGTCCCAATAGAAAATCAAAATCGCAGAATCGCGAATAAATAATACCTCCTACCGAAGATATTCTCCTTTAAAAGGTCAATTACAATTCAATCTGTAAAGAGTATTGACTGTAAACTTATTGACTTCCCAGTTCTGCCTCAATTCAAACTTACTTTGAACCACTGTAATGTGCTATCATGTAGTGCGTAAAAATGATGCGAAATTGTATTATACTAAGAACTAATACAAAATTCATTAGCGAGGAAATATGAAGTACAGACAACTCGTACTGCGATAAACGGTATGGCTTCTAATGAACTGTCTAGCTGCATCAAATCTAAGTGAAAATACAACCTTAACGAGTTCGGGAATAAAATTCGAACACGGAGAAAAAAAGACAATATTCTTTTTCAAAAACATAAAAATAGAAAACAAATTAATTAGGAGTGAATTGCAGAACATAAATCTACCGTGATTCGTTGAATTAATACCGATCTCCAAATCGATTGTATTAAGGAAAAAGAAGAAGAATGTTTGAGGTCAGTTCAGTTTTTAATACTCCCTTACGTTTCAAGGTTACATTATGTGGAACGTAATTAACAGTGCAAGAGTAGAGGTAAATGTTGTGTAGATGCATTTCTACACCTTCTATGAAATATATCCGGACAATAAGCCGTATCCTAAAATGAAATCTGATAAGACCAGATTTAAAAAATAATTCAGAAGAGCATCACCCGGTTTAGATGCATTGAACGGAAAAGTAGCATAATAAGCATAAATATCATCCAATAATGTATTTAATACAAGATAAAAACATTTTTTAAATTAAAAAAATATAATCATCACAATGTTTACTGAAATAAACAAATTAGCAGTTTGACGAAGCTAGAGGAATGCAGTTGGGTATTTTTCTGAAACTCTTATCTTACTTTTTTTGAAAATTAGCTTCATTAATTGTTTGTTTTACGTTCAGCAAAATGGTAATTTTTTTCTTTAAAATGTGCGTCTGCGAGAGAGTGTAGAGTTAGCAGTCATTTCGATAGCCAATGTTACGCAAATAAACCGATATTGATATTTCTCATGGATTTTCTCAAGTATTGTCGGTGTGCTTCTTTAATGCAATTACTATTTCCCTTTCACATAATGATGTTTAGATTCAGGGAAATATAGAATGAGAGTAGTTATCGATCATACCTTTCATATTTTTTTCTGGCCAATTTGTCCCAACAAAATACTTCAGCATCAAGTCTCCCAAAATGTATTTTGCGATATCAATGTATACACTTGGTCAGTGCATTCGAAGATGTTCACTGTCAAATAGTTGAAATTGTTTTATTGGAAATAAATCTTTTATGAGCCAAAAGTACGTTTGGCGGTGGAAAACTGCTTTACGACAAAAAAATTCAATAAAAGTGAAAAATGTCAAAATCTTGAACTTACTATCCATCTGATCACTTCTACATCAAGATCCTATATTACCCCGTTCTGTTTGCCACTGCAAATTAGTACTTAAAGTTTAAAATTGTGGATTTCTCATGTATAATCGCCGAATATATTCATCTCTGCCTGAATTCAAACTTTCACAAACACATTTTTACATTTAGATATTTTTTGAACGCTCACAAGAAACAATAAAACTAGAACATTAAAACAATTAAAATGCACAACACATTTTACTATGGAAAGGTTACGAACATCATATTTGACCATAAATATACAAATGCGTCGCTGTTGAACAAATGTTTAAATGATTTTCATTCACAGAAACGTTACAGTGCTGCATCTACGATGCACGTTCTGCTTCGCTGGTCTTCATTTGCCTAACTGTCCGCTTCAACGTGTTCATCAATGCGGGAATGTCTCGCGCAGCTTGCAACCGCACGGAAGGGAGAAGAACCGCTTGATTAAACGAGACCGCGACATACGCGCAGAATGCACCAACGGCGCGCGTGCCCGGCGAGAACACACCGCCACTTCTCCGACGAGATAGCCACTCGACCGAGCGCCAAGCGAAAGCAAACGCAGCGCGCAAGCACGGCGGGGTGACGGTACGCCAGAAGGAGGCATGCCAGAACAAGGCTGTCTTCGCGCGGAGAGCGAGAGAGAGATGGTGTTCCGTTGTGGTGCGGAGCGTTGTATGTGGGTGAGATGGGCGGCGAGCATGCGGAGAGCGTGTGGAGAGTGCGTGGAAGACGAAACCGTGGAAGCGTAATGAAGACCCGAAGCGGGAACGTGTGGAACCGAGGCGGAGAGCATGACTGAGAGTAGCGAAGAGGAGAGCGTTTGACCCCGGAGAGCGTGATGGTCGAGAACCGTGTCCCCGATATTCCGGACGGCCAGAGGTGCCGAGCGGAGGCCGCGT